TCAGGGGTTTAGGGTTTAGGGTTTAGGGGTTTAGTGTTATTTAGGGTTTAGGGGTTTAGGGTTTAGGGGTTTAGGGGTTTAGGGTTTTAGGGTTTCGGGTTTAGGGTTTGGGGTTGAGGGTTTAGCCCCGAACCCGGAAGCACTAAAACCCTAAGCCCTAAGCCCTAAACCTTATATAGGTCGGGTAGTCTCTTCACTTGTGGTTTCTGGAGGGGCTGTATAGGTATATAGGGCTCCTTATTCGGGCTATAAAAGGCAAGGTTAGGAACAGGTAAAGAGACCGCCAGTCTGTCTAACCTAAACCCTCAAACACCCACTAGGTGCTTCCTGAAGCATGTTCTGCAGCCTCAACTGTCGGAGCCTAAGCACGGTCTGGGGTTTAGGGTTTAGGGCGTTTTGGGTTTCAAGGCTTTAGGCACAGTATCAAGGTGAGACCGTTGTACGAGAATTGATGCGCTTCGACCTCATTCTAATATTTCAGACCCCGGATTCATACAACCCTTGCCCTTTTTGAGGATTGTAATCGGGAGCCTAGTACTAGAGCCTTGAAGACAGGGGAGTTGTTAATCAGGGATTCGGTTCGGTTTCCCTAAACCCTAAACCAAAATCTAATGAGATCTAAGGCCCCTGTGTTTTTCTTAAAGTCTATTCTGTCGGGCTTTTTATCTTACCCCTAAACCCTAAGCCCGAAACCTTAACATCATGTGTTAAAGAACACCCTAATGAACACCTGAACCCTAAACCCTAAACCCTAAATAAACCCTAAACCCTGAACCCTAAACTCTAAACCCTAAACCCTAAATAAACCCTGAAACCCTGAAACCCTAAACCCTAAACCCTGAAACCCTAAACTCTAAACCCTAACACCTAAACCCTGAACCACTAAACCCTAAACCCTAAATAAACCCTATACCCTAAACCCTAAACTCTAAACCCTAAACCCTAAATAACCCTAAGCCCTGAAACCCTAAACCCTGAAACCCTAAACTCTCAACCCTGAACCCTAACACCTAAACCCTGAACCCCGAAACCCTAAACCCTAAATACACCCTAGACCCGGAACTCTAAACCTTAAACCCTGAACGCGAACCCCAAAACCCTAAGCCCTAAACCCTAAGCCCCTACACCCTAAACCCCCTATAAACCCTAGACCCTAAACTCTAAACCCTAAACTCGATGGTTTAGGGATTAGGGTTTAGGGTTAAAGCCCTAAGCCCTAAACCCTAAGCCCCAGTTCGTTCCTCTCAACATGAGGCCCCAATAACAGGCTCCTCCTGGTAAGGAATTCTAACCTGTTCTGCAGTTTGGAAAAGGGCCCGTAAAAAAAACAAAAACCCTAAGCCCCTACATCCCAAAGCCTTCTCTGGCGACTCCACCGGTGTGTAGCTGTCGGGGTCGTTTTCAGAGCCCCGGGTCTGAGGGTTTAAGGATTAAGGCGTGGGGCTTTTCGTTTAGGTGTTGGTTTTTGAGGCTTAGGGGTTGGGGTTTGAGTTTCGGGTTCGGGTTAGGTAAGGTTTTGCGATTTGGATTTAGGATTTGGGGGGTGGGGTTTAGGATTTAATGTAATCATTACATTGTCGTTGGAGGCGTGCGCGGCTTTGGGGGTTTAACTACAGTTCTTGCTCGTCTCTGAACACACAGCTTGTAGCCGACCTTGACACACAGGCACTGCGAGCGTACATGTAGCCTCAAGCTTTCTCCGGATGTGTCCATCCCTTTGGAATCACGCATAGAGGCATGCACTCAAAGGCCGACGCGCAGAGCATACATGCACGTGCCACGTGCAACGGCGAAACAGACAGCAGGACCTGGGGCTATAGAATCGCGGAATTTGCTTGAAGCTCGAAGCAGAACTGTGTAGAATCAGAAGAGGCGCCCCTAATCTAGACTTTAGACAAATCCACACAGTAGGATCCTGAAAAAAGGACCATTCTCCCCGCCCACTCCCTGCCCCCATAACTGACACCCAGAGAAAGCAGTGAAGCCTTAGCCTAAAGGCCTGGCATGTGTTGAAGTCTAGGACATTTTCAGGTGGGTAGTTACCGTTGTAGGAGCCTTATAGAAGGTCTATTTACCTTATAGAAGCCTTATAGAAGCCCTATATACCCTAAACTCCCCACCTGTAGTTTCCTTCAGTTGAAGGCACGGAAGTCTTCCGATTCCTCCAATTCTCCACAGGCTGCCAGTCACGTGTTGGGGGTGGTTAACTTAAGGGCCTCAACAATTAGAATCTGATTTTGAGGTAGCTTGAAGCATCTTCACGTCGCCAACCGCAGCAAATGGAGCCAAAACAGAAACAGAGCTGACATAGGGGTCTTACGCACTCAGCCCTCAACCCCCTACCAGGCCCGCAACCCTTGAAACTTATACTTTCCTGACCCAAGTAATATGATAGGGTTTAGGGTTTAGGGTTTAGGATTCAGGGTTCAGGGTTAATTCAAGCCTTTGTTTCGGGTTTTTGTTGCAGTTGGGCCGGCAGACTTCATCTGAAGCTCTCTCGCTTACTGCAAGCCTAGTTACAACGGTATGATATTATGCTTGCTTTATCATATAATGCTGCTATATTTTTAATAGGGCCGAGTACTGAAGAGTAGAGTGGAGTAATTAGAGTAGAGCAGAGTGTAGTAGATTATGGGCTTCGCTAGCGTTCAGAGATCAGGAGCTCACCACACCTGCCTCACCTTTACTGTTCAGGCACTAACCCCGGAACCCCAAAGCCCTAAACCCTTCAACCCTAAACCCTACTGCACACGCTAAAGCTCTAGAGCCCAGCACCCCTGAATCCTAAACCATGAAGAAAGCCCTAAAGCCCTAAACCCCTAAGCCGCAAGACACCTTACATAAAGGCCACGCCGTGGGGTTCTAGCTCCAGCTCCCGGAGCTCCGCCGTTCAAGGCTTTTAGGGTTTATAGGGCATAGGGTCGCCAAGTCAATGACGAATGTAGGGGCCTAATTAATTACCAATACTATTCTGGGGGGTTTCTTTATTAGAGTATCATGGGCCCCCCCCCAAACCCTATTCTAACTATTAAGGCCCCTACATTTACCCTGAATCCATCGAAGTGTTCAGCCCCTGTTTATGACTGGAGAAGCAAGCAAAAACTGAACCCCTGCACCGTGAAGTCTAGGACATTTTCAGGTGGGTAGTTGCCGTTATAGGAGCCTTATAGAAGGTCTATATACCTTATGGAAGCCTTAGAGAAGCCCTATATACCCTACACCCCCCACCTGTAGTTTCCTGTACTTGGATGGGTAGTTATAAGTACGTAGGGTTATAAGTAGGGTAACTATAATTATAACCCATATTAGGGGGCTTATAACCCCACTTATACCTACCCGTGAACCTCCAAGTAATGACCTGAGCATCTCGGAAGCAGGCGTCGCAGGCACCGGCTTCGCCTCTTTGTTGCAAAGCGAGCTCAGAGACTCCAAAACCCCTTGTTTAGGGTTTAGGGTTTAGGATTTAGGGTTTAGGGTTGACTAAGGAATGTACCTTAAATTGTAGTAGGATCCCTAATATGATTTAAGGTATATTCCTTGATTAAGAGGTTTCGAAGTCTCTGGGAGGAGTTCATCGGGTTTAGGGGTTCTTACAAAAAGGATCCTACTATCTGCTCTCTCTTGAAGGTTTCCTTGGCTTCGGAAGGCCTGAGCCCCTAAACCCCAAACCCCTAAACCCTAAACCCCTAAACCCTAAACCCCAATACCCTAATACCCTAAACCCTAAACCCCTAAACCCTAAACCCCTAAACCCTAATACCCTAATACCCTAAACCCTAAACAGGACAAGGATTCAACAACAAATGCGAACTGTCCTAAGCCTTGGTGCCCTCGAGCCTCCAACCCTCCCTGAACCCCTAAACGCCTAGCCTTTTGGGGTTTAGGGTTTAGGGTATTAGGGTTTAGGGTTTAGGGGTTTAGGGGTTTGGGGTTTAGGGTTTAGGTTATTCGGGGTTCAGGGTTTAGGGTAGATTCCCTTTTATCAACCTTACATAGTTCCTGAGAGAGCTGGGGCTTTCGGGGATTAGGCGGAAGACTCCTCAACCCTTCTTGAACCCGACCTTAAAGACGAAAGGACCCTCAAAAGGTAGGGGCCCTATACCTTGATACTATGAACCCCCATATGGGCAGTTCTCCAAATTAGGGTCCCTTTAAGGATCGTTTTTGCAACGGTGCCGTACTATATTGGGGACCTAAAAAGGGGCCCTAATTTAGACAACTACCTATATGGTAGATGAACCTTAAAACCCTTGTAGGGTTCATCTTTCGTCCGAAAGGGAGTTCGACAGGGTTTGAGGAACCAGGTTCTGTCATACACTGTAAAACTTTCTAAACCCTAAGCCCGAAACCCTAAACCCTAAACCCCTCATGAATCCCAATCCGTTTATGAGAGCTCGAATCGGGATCCTAATCCACATGGCAAGTGCCACAGCTCCGAAGGGAGTCTAGTAGTCAGGGAACTACATTTGGGGGTTTCCGAAAATAGGGGACCCTAACATAGCACCCTAAATAATAGGATCCCTATTATAAAGACCCCAAAATAAGGTACCCCTTATTTTGGGAAACTCCCAATTTTGGGGCGCCGAATATGCGCCATCAAGGCCTCCTGTAGAATCCTCAGGCCGAACTGCATTGAATTGGACATTGCAAGCAATGTAGGGGCCTTTCTAATTACTTATACCATTTTGGGGACGGGTTTTATAGTTATAGTATAATATGCCCCAAAACACTCTTTTTTTTAGGGCACCTACATTAATTAGTTATTTCTCGGGCTCGGGATTGAGCGCTTTCCGGTTGCCCCGGTTTGTCAGAGTCTGCCCTCTTTAGGTACCCTCAGAAGGAGCCTGCTAGATCCATCAAAGGAACCCTGAAGGGAGCCCTGAAAAGGAGACTTAGAACAACTAATCCACAAAAACCCTAGACCCTAAACCGACACCCTAAACCCTAAACCCTAAACCCTAAACCCCAAACCCCTAAACCCTAAACCCTAAAGCCTAAACCCCTAAACCCTAAACCCTAAACCCTAGCCTTAAAGGAGCCCTCAAAAGGCCTCTCCGGAGCTTGTCTCCTAACTTCCGGGGCTTTGAGTTTCGGGTCGAGTTCTTCGGCAAGAAGAGCTGGAGCTTAGGGTTTAGGGTTTAGGGTTTAGGGTTTAGGGTTTAGGGTTTAGGGTTTAGGGTTTAGGGTTTAGGGTTTAGGGTTTAAGGGTTTAGGGTTTACTTCCCTAAGCCCTAAACCCTACACTTTTAGGGTTTAGGGGCTACTTCCCTAAACCCTAAACCCTAGACTTTTAGGGTTTAGGGGCTAGAGCCTACTTCGTTGCCGGGTTGGGGTTGAGGGTTTGGGGTGTAGGGCAGTGTAGGGTCTAGGGTCCTCAACAAGTTTAGTGTTTAGGGTTTGCGGCGAGGTGTTGGTAGGGGAGTTGTTACAGGGCCCTATGGGGGTTCAAGGTTTCAGGGTCGGCAGGTACAGGATACCTCCGGAGAAGCGCGGGGCCAAGTCGGGGGTTCCACGGCGTGGGGTTTGGGGGTTTAGGGTTCAAGGTTTTAAGGCTTTAGGGCCTTAGGCTTAGGGTTTAGGGTTTAAGGTTTTAGGGTTTAGGGTTCTTTTACTGTAAGAAGCCAGGTCGAGTTCAGCAGGTCCAGTTTCGTTCATAAGGCTCCGAGCAGGCGCTAGGGAAGGGCCCTGGGCCAAGGAGGGCCTCGTCTTAGGATCCACCTAAACCCCAGGCCCCAAACCCCAAAGCCCCAAACCCTAAAGCCCTAAACCCTTTAAGCCCGAAACCCGTAAACCCTGAAGCCCTAAGTCAAGCCCTAAAGCCCTGAACCCCTCAAACCCAAAACCCTTAAACCCTTAACCCCTAAACTCCTAAAGCCCTAGCCCCGAAGCCCCAAAGCCTGGGGGCAGAGCCGCTACGCCTTTTCTTGTTTTTGGGGGTTCAGGGTGACTTCCCAACATTCCGTCCGCACCCCTCGCAGAAGGGTCTTGCAGCTACTGCCTTCCAAAACCAGCAATTTAGTGCTTAGGGCTTGGGGTTTAGGGTTTAGGGTTGGGGCAATTTAGGGTTTAGGGATCGGTGGTTGCACGAGTGCTTCATGAACATCGAGTCACGAAATTGTATACAATAGGGCTGGGGGAGGTGCTTCAGCGCAGATCTTTCCAAGCCAACGGCTTGGTCAATCCGTTGGCCAAGCGGAGTCGTTACACGAAGCTCTCCGTCGAGGATGGCATTCTGCGGGAGGAGCACGGGAAGACGACTGGGTCCCGAGAGGCTCCTTGCGTCTTATCGACGGCCTTAATTCCATTCGCTGGATCTATGTGTTGTGTGAGATCGGCCCAGAGAGCTGGGTCCACAAGTACATTGATGCGATGATCAAGCGCTCGCGCATCAGGCCCAATCAGGTCGAGAAGTTCAAGGCCTACTTCGAGAAGGCCTCGTGGAAGCTCTGCTCAGACCTGCGTTCCAATAAGACATTCAAAGAAGCTTCGCAAGCCATCATCCAGGACGTCTCTGCTTTCCAGGAGACTCTCATCCGCGGAAGAGGAGTAGTATTCAACTGACTCACACATACCGTCACATACCTCGATGCGTGCCTCCTGCATCCTTGTGCTGCATACCCATACGAATGTCAAACCCTCGACCCTCAACCCCTTTTCCCGAATCCTGTATGCTAAGCCCTACACCCTAAACCCCTGCGCCCAATACTGAAGGCAGACCCCTAAACCCCAAACCCAGTACTAAACCCTAGACGGTACAGAAAAGGCTGCTTCGCCAAAGACCCCAAGTCTCAGGGAGGACATAAGGAACTAAACGTATGTAGAAACATACAACAACACGAGAAGACAACTGGGTTCTTGTTAAGGGATTTATTTTAAGTTACCATAATAGGGATCTATAGTAAATAATATGGTTTCCTTATTATGGTAACTTAAATTAAATCCCTTAACAAGAACCCAGACAATCCAGAATCAGAGCTGCCAGCATGCCCCGTGCTCAAACATTATAACCCTAAGCCGCAAGCCCAATACTGAACCCTCCTTATGAAAGGTTGGCGTCCATCGTGCGAGACCGATGATAGGTGTTACTCGTATTAGGGTCGTTGTTGTGATTGGTACTAGGTGCTCCAGGTTTCAGGGATTACTCATGCGCCAGCCATGGGACTATTTTGCCAGTTACGTTTGGGTCGCACCTTATGTTGGCCTGAGGGCTAGTATCAAGGACATTTTCAGGTGGGTAGGCACCGTTATAGGAGCCTTATAGAAGGTCTATATACCTTATAGGAGCCTTATGGAAGCTTTATATACCCTAAACTCCCCACCTGTAGTTTCCTTTAATAGCAACGTTTCGCGGATGAAGTTTTAGGCTCGGGGTTGGAGGCCTTTCTTGGACGGCTGAACACTGTACTGCTCCCGATACCAGGTTCAGTAGTGCGTCCTAAACCCTAAAATCCTAAGCCCCTTAACATTAAGGGGTTTAGGGTTTAGGGTTGTATACATTGATTCGCGGGCTCAGGTCAGCAGGATGCCTTGACAATGCCGGGAGAAAAGAGGCTGCGTTGGCTTGTGCCCTATAGACCCCTGAACAATTAGCTCTATGATCTCCATTTCTTAGGGTTCCTTGTTATATTTCTATTATGTTAGAGTCTAATATAACCACGCAGCCCCATTGTCATTATTGAGGCCGCTACAGTAGCTACAGTATATTTCCCTTAAACCCTAAACCCTAAACCATCTGCGTCTGCACCATGTTGCTTCAGAAGTCCAAGAGCTGACTCGTGGGCCGGACAACCTACCATCTGTCTGGATTTGTTGCTTGCTCCTCTTCTTGACCTTTAGGGCTTCAGAGTTTAGGTTTTAGGGGTTTAGGTTCGGAGACTTCGGGTTTGGGGCTTCAGGGTTCAGGGTTTAGGGCCACTGCAGCTATCGATGATGAGGGCGACCACCCAGGTCGGGATGGTAAGAATGTGGGTCATGGATGTGATGGCGGCTATGGTGGTCATGAAGGCTATGAACTATGACCATGATCTTCGCATGATGATTCTGACGGTGGCGTATTAACGACAATTCTGTCGATAAGATGAGGCTGGACGACGTGTGAAGAGTGACCATGCTTTTGATGGTGTCTTGTAGTCAGCTTTTGATGTTGATGGCAAAAGATGTCACCCATAGCACTGGTGATAGTGGCTTTGATGGTCATGATGACGATGGTCGTGATGGTGATGGTGGCGTTGGTCATGGCAGTGACGCTTATGATACAGCTCATTATGAATATGGCGACGACACTTCCTAAACCCTAAACCCTAAACCCTAAACCTGTCATCATGTTGCAAAGCACGTGCCCGCCCCAGCACGGTAATCTTCAAAGGGACCGCGTGCGGACAACCTTGGACAGAGTTCAAGCCGAGTTTTATGGTTTAGGGTTTAGGGTTTAGGATGCTTGCGGAGATTGCTATAAGGGTTTGGGGTCTTTGGGTCTAAGGGTTTAGGGTTTTTTAATCATCTGTGAGCAGAACTCTCTGTTAGCCTGACGGGATCGAGCCAGAACGCAGGCATCAACTGCTAAGCAATATGATGATGATCCTAAACCCTAAACCCTAAACCCTAAACCCTAAACCCTAAACCCTAAACCGATGATGATTCTGACGCAGGCATCAACTGCCAAGCTGCACATCCACAGCATCTCCACCGATGAGGTCGGCAGGGTTTCATCGGACTCTCGGGGGTTGTCAGGCCTGGATTTGTATCCAATTTTCCCATTCAGCCCCAAGCCCTCTTCGGGTTTAGGGTTTCGGGGTTTAGGGGTTTAGGGCTGTGTTTGTATCTGTGTGTATCTGCACCCAGTTTTGGAAGCAGTGTTGGCAAAGCGAATAACTGAATGAAGGTGATCATTCTTGACAGATTGCATGGTCAGGTTACCCTAAACCCTAAACCGGTTCTTGTTAATGAATTTCCTGGCCCTTAGCGATAGTTGCTCGGGTGGCAGATACTTGAAACATACTGTCATGTCAACATAGCTCGGCCATAAAAGAGATCTGCACATCGAGTACAGGGGTACCTTTTCCGTAGGTCTGAAAGCACACTAAGAGGATTTGCGGGTACGCGGCTAGCTTGCAGGGGTAGCGTTTTTGCCGAAAGGGTACCCACTAAAACCTAAACCCTAAACCCCTAAACCCTAAACCCCTAAACCCTAAACCCCGAAGCCCTAAACCCTAAACCCCTAAACCCTAAACCCTACTAAAACCCTAAACCCTAAACCC